CAAAATCAAGAAAGTTAATCACATGATCATGTTATATACGCGGCAATAATATTCGAGACGTCAATAACGAGGAACGACAATAACGCATAGAAGTTTCAAGCACACCAGAATCATAAACACGGGCCTCAATAAGCCGACACGAGATAACGCGGCAACGAAACTGACAACACGAAGAAAAACTTCGCGTACCGGAAACGCGATAACAACCGTGCGAGCCGACAAGCAATCTCGCATTTACTTCATGTTGAATATAGTTTCATTGTATCGTTAAAGAGTTCACTAAGCTCCGAAATTATGACTTCCCGATAAAAAATTTTTCGTGCATGTATATGTATAAATATGTATAAACATACATAAACACGAATAAATATTCATAAATATATGTAATTATATATGAAATATGTCCATGCATGTTCATACATTCCTCTTTCTTTTGTAAAATTACTTTTTAGTGTAAAAAAACATAATAATCGGCCTCATCTAACTACTTTTGTAGCGTTATATTGAATTAATCGTCAAATGTTTTATTTTCAATTTCGTAAATTATATACAGTATTACAGTTGTACATGTATTCTTACATAGAATAAATAAACCAACCTTTTATTCCGAGTAATAAAAAAATTCAGTTTATTTAATCGATTAAGTTAATTGATTTAAAAGATTGATTTAGTAAAAGGGTGACTTATCGGAATTTCAAATTACCATTTAGATAGTGTCGGTATAATAAGAGTTGCCAAAACGTTTTTATATCTGCGCTACAAATTTTTAAGTTTCTTTAAAATATATTCTCATGCCTTAATACTAGAACCATCGGAATTGGATACCCTCCAAGAACCGTCGAACGTACCAATTTGGCTCTTATGCTTTCCTCCATCTAATAAAACGTTATTTTGATATTATTTCCATTATTTGGGGTTGTATATATATATATATATATACATATATACTTTCGATATTCTGTATTGTACAGTACGAAAAAAACAAACAATTGAATACGATAATCGCAGTTTCACCGTTGACGTGTTGATTCTTTTTGCTATACTGAACAATACCATGGTGGAACCAGAAAGGTGAAGTATTGCGTATGATGGAGTAAGGATGGAACGAATTTCCACCAATCAAAATGCTATCGGTATTACATGGCATTTCATCAAAATCATGTTTGCACCAGTCGCTGACAGGCATGTCATTAATTTTAAAACAGATTTATACGATATATATATATGAAATGAAAAGATCATATTTCAATTAAAATTAAAATTAAATATTAATCGGACTCTCGAAATTAAAAAGCAATAATATAATGTACGGACAAGAACGTTACACAGCGCGGTAATTGGTACGCAATTTATACAATAGTCTAATAATATTCACATAATAGGCGATTTTTGGCGTGCTTCTGGTATAGCAACTAAAAGCAACCGCGGTTGGGGCTATCTTCATTTTCAGGAATCAGAAGACAAAGATAGCCCTAACTGCGGTTGCTTTTGGTTGCGGTACCAGAAGCACGTCAAAAATCGCCTTATATATACATTAAAAATGTACAGTGACTGTCGATTATACTAGCTTATTTGGATGTTTCGGTTTCTTCCAAACCATTTTCAGCAAATTCATTATCGTAAATGTATTGACAATAGCGATTAAGTAGCATTTCAGTGATTAAGTAGCAATGAATAAGAAACTGTACACTAGAATGTTATTACGTAAGTAACAATTGTGTATTTTTGTTTTCAAGCATTGGATTCCAGTGGCCAACTCAAATCAGGTTTCTTTTACGGAAATAATTTTTGGCTGGGCAGTCGTAGTCAGTGTCTTGATATAATGAACAGGACTCCCTTCGAGTTCGCAAAACGGCATATATTAAATAACACACGATACCGCGATCCGCAGAATGAGTTCCCACCTTTCCAACTGAATTACTTCGTTGCTCATATCAGACACAACAGTACTCTTCAGTATCACATCAATATGCTAACTGAAGTTAGTTCTATCTTCTTGAGAGTATACCGTGTTTTTAATCAATGGTCTTTTACGATAGATTTTAAATTTTTATTTAAAGTCCAATTTTTTAACAATATATATCAGGCAAACCTAAATCAAACATTTCCTGCATCTTTATATATTACGATCTAAATAAATCCTATTTATGGGAGATGTGTTAAATTTTACTAATTATTTATTTAAATAGTACTAACTTAACATTTATTTATGACAAATAAATATTTAAATAAATAGAAAAATGGTAAATCAAATTAATGGTCCTTGTTCTAAAAAAATATATATTTATTATTCAGTAAATAATTAGTAGTATTCAAACAGATATTTATTCAAATTTAGTATATTTTTTCTCAGTGCAAATTAAAATCAATGTGAAAAAATTAAAGTAATTTTATCGCTAATATTTATTACAAACGGGGTTAAACACGTTAAATTTAGTTTTTAGTAATGTCGTAAATCGTAAAAAGAGAAAGTTACAAAAATTGACTTACAGCTCATTTGGCAATTACATGATTTCTTTAACGGATGAATATTCAAATTTTTCAATGTGAAATTATGAAAAACATGTAAAAATACTAACAAACAAATAAAAAGTATCGGAACCCCTAGATCTAAAAATATAAATTTTATGAAAAAAAATGTTTCAAACAAAATTTGTAGGATTTAAAAAGATTTATTTATTGATCTTATTACTTTAACCTTAGGTGACGTCATCAAGGTCAAATCAAGGTCACATCGATTTTTTTAAATGGAAATCCCCATTTTTCATTAAATATTCTTAGCTTATCTCAAAAGCTCTTCAAAACTCTGTAACAAAACATTTTTTCATTAAGTAGGGGAAAGTGGGGGAAAAATGCGTAGCGGATAATTGTGCGCATCCTGGTTTGGTACTTTTCCAATGGATGAAGACATTACTGTGGTGAAATTTTTACGCTGGAGGTCGTCCTCTTAAGATATAGCTTTAAATATACGACGTAAATACGTTGCTAGAGAAATACAAAAACGTGAATCACATCTTTTCTTGTTATTTTAACATTTAGAAAATAAGGTGGTAAGTTCGTATTTTTAATTTGTTCGTTTAAAATTGCAAACGTTATTAAAGTATGTTATTATGTGCGTCTTTTGAGCTGTTATTTATTAAGTTATGTTGTGGTTAAGAAATGTTGAAGTAATCGTATTTCATATCGAACCAGGTTGCGACTGTGCACAAGCGTCAGGGACTGTATATGACTAGCACTAATTTTTTTGTTTTTTTCTTTGCATTATTATTTTATTTTGCCATTTTATTTTGCCAAAGTCTATATGTATTATTATTATATTAGTTTTGTGTTCTTGCTTAATATGTACAACATATATTTGATATATATTTATATTGTAATATAATAAATACATTTTCTGATTTCTTTGTCAACATTCCATAATTCATTCATTTCCTACGACTTTTGTTTTGCGCACAATTACTTAATTCATGTGCACAATTACCCTACGCTCGAGAAATTTTTTCGTTTTTCCGTCTTTTCCTTTTTGCCAAATACAACCTTATTGAATGAAAATCTGTTCCATATGAGGATAAAAGAATGTTTATAATTTCTATTTCCATACATATGTCGCTTTGAACTTGGAAAATCATTCCAGGACAATAAATTTCCTTTAGGTGCGCACAATTCACCCACTTTCCTCTACATTTTGAGTTCTATGACTTGAAAGTTACCGTACCATCGGCATTAGTACCCATTATTCAAGATGTCCAACTGATGGTTAGAAACCTTTTAAATGTTGTTCAGCATCATGACCTTGATAACATTTGACAAGATCGTGGGGGCGTTCGGAAGTTATATTTATTTTTATTTTTAGTGTAAATAAGCCATTTTAAACTTTTGTCTGAAATATTTTTTTTAAATAAAATTTATATTTTTCGAGATATATTGAGGGGTTCCGGTACTTTTTATATATACCCTGTATATAGCAGATTTTATATACATTTTAGGACGTGATTTCACTCGGCCTATGTTTGCCCGCATCCTGTTCCATGAATAATATAAGTTTCATTCTAGAAGGAATATTTAGGGATAGAATTCTTTTAATCAATGACCTATATTCCGTGGACCTCAACCTGATCCAGGTAAAAAACTTAAAGGACGATCATCAATGGCTATTAAGCGGTGCCATACCTCTCATATGGTATGTTAAAAAACATAGAGAACAAAAAATTAACATTACAAATGAAATAATAATATACGTTAAATTTTCATGTTCCTTCCGAGAGTTTAAAAAAGTAATGGAAGATATCTGCACATATTAATTTTATCATTTTAGTGTTGTTTTAGTGCTTACCTTTGCCATGATGATAAGCGGCACAATATACGATATATTCACGTATCAAACGTATTTAAAGGCAAAAAGTAAAACTGTCGTTAGTAAGTATATGTCTAACCAATCGTAAAACTTTTTAAACTTCTTCAGTAATGGACTATTCGTAATATTGATTTTGTTATATTCCTGATATTTCGAAAGAAAATCACGCTCACGTTTTACACATAAAATCTTTTTACTAAATTGGAATCATTATTTTAATAAAATTCCAAAATGCAAAAAGATATATTGTATTTCTGTCGTATAAAATGATTTATTCCTATAATGCAATATCTTTTTTTATCAATTGTTTGCTTGTTAATAGTTTTCGTGCTTTTACTGGCAAGCATCTTTCGCAATTTTTAATCAATACAGATTCTGAATTGTGATTTAGATGTAAGAAACGCGATCGAGAAGATGGAAATATCAGATTTGTCGTCTTTACGTAAAAAAAGTAGAATCGGGAAGGTATTAATGTGTTTCTCCGTTTACACAAATACGAAGATAATATTTAATACGAAATTGGACACCGAAGCAATAGTCGTCATTCACGGCATAAGATTTCTGTCCATGGTTTGGGTAATCATACTCCATAGCATATATTTCACGATGGAATATTTCGGTAAGTGTATTGATACAAAAATTGTAGAACTGAAATTATTTACGTCTCCTGATATGTCGTTTTCCATGCATAACGAACGTCGTTCCACAAATGTAGACAATAAAGTGTGGCTGTTGAGGTTGTCTGAAGGTATCCCCTTTCAAGTGATAAGCAACGGAACCGTATCGGTTGATACTTATTTCTTTTTAAGCGGATTTTTATTGGCTTACACATATTTAAAGAATAAAATAGACAAGGAACGAATTAAGCCGATTGATTACAGAGAGAAGCTGAACGAGTTCTTTGTCGGATTAATAAAGAGATATGTCCGGTACGTTTCTAACGTTATTTTGATTGACGTGAACAATGAACAAAAACGACCCTACTGAAAAGAATCATCAAAAAGTCACACAGTTGCACGATGAAATCATGTAATTCATTATTAAAACATGTAAATCACGTAACAGATTATTCCAAATCAGTACGTGATTTTTTTAATTACATGTATTGGAAAATTACATGATGATATGTTCGTTTTTCTTCCATTTCTATTATTCAACTCTTTAAAATTCGATAAATATAAAATCACATAATGGATGAAATTATTTCTAATATCATGTGAGATTTTTCAAATTATATCATTTAACAAATTTGCGTACTGATTTGGAACAATCCGTTACGTGATTTACATGCTTTAATTACATGATTTCATCATGTAATGTTGTGATACGATTTTTTTCAGTATGGGACGCTGTAAGTATGACAACATCAATGATACAGTAATGAGAAAAATAACAGAGAATGCGATTTAAAAATTCAATTTAACTATGAGTCAGATAATAATAATAATTACTTCCTTTATAGTTGTTAAGATTAAATCTAGAAATTTCTTTTAAGGTTGACACCAGCTTACATAATGATGATAGAAATAGTGCAATTAAATTCAGTTTGGTACGACAAGACTTCGCAATTCTACGTTCAGGAAAGACCGCACGAAACTTGCTCGAAATACTGGTGGAGAAATGTCTTGTACATACATAATCTGTTTGGTCATAATACGATGGTACGAACGCCAATTTAGGCTGTGTTTCAAAATTTACTACCAGTACTGAAAATCTATAGTGAACGTAACGCAGACTATAGATTTTAAGTACTGGCAGTAAATTTTGGAATATAGCTTTAATTATAATATCATTCTGTGGCATCACATACTCAGAAGCTTGTAAGAGAGACTCCTTATTTCGAGTTATATTGAAATTTTCTTGTAGTGCTTGTCCTGGAGTTGGTATCTATCCAACGATATGCAATTCTTTATAATCGGTCAGGCGCTTTTAATTCTGTCAACTGTGTAAGTTAAACGTTGACTGTGGAATGATACATATTTTCAACGCATGTATCTGAATAAATAAAAGCTTATACAAATTTCAGATATTTTTATGTGACTGTTGTCATACTAGGTATAATTTTGATAGGCTCGATCATCTTGAGCGGTTATGTCTCATACATTTATGGATTTGTTCCAACGTAAGTTGAAAAGCATGTTATTAAATGTGAGAATAATTAAGTAAATAAACGCTTTTCTGTTATTGCAGTTTGGACGAACAGAACAGACTTGCAGATGTCTTATACTTTCCACCATGGATCCGAATTGGTCCATATATTATTGGAATGATTACAGGTTACATTATAGTAAGATTTAACAAAAAAATTGCATTGAAAAAGGTAAAGTATAATAATTTATTTTCGTGTAAGAGAATTTTATATAATCAATTGTTGGAGTTATAGAGTATGTAAGCTACCGATTAATAAAGTTCGGATGATAATTAGAAATTGTTATTTCTATAATAATTATGCAGAACGTGCGCGCGAATTTGAAATATCCATAATTATAAATTATGGACTAATATCAAATTAATTTTTACAAAAAATTAGCTTTAAATGTAGTTAGTTTTTAAATTATATCCGTAATTATACATGCACACATATAAATATATACAGGATGTCCCGAAATTTGTTGCCAACCGCTCT